AGACCTCCTGCAAGATGTAACAGCCTCCCCCACCAGTTGAAGAGCCCCCCAGGTGGCTCGATGCACTGGCGGCACCCTGCGCCAGGGCTGGGCCCCCAGCCCACAATCCCGGCAACACACCAAGCAGGACCCAGGACCCAAGCCCTCAAGGCCCAGCCAGGGCCCCAGCCCAGAGACGGAGCACCCCCAGAACCCCACGCCTGTCCCGGACCCACCCAGGGTCCTAAAAACAGGACTCAGATGGGCTTGTCAAAAGTGGACAAAAGATTGGAAAACCACTGCCTGAATCAGATTGAGAACCACTGCCACCACCATTTCTCAATCTGTGGAGTGGGCCACAAGACAAGGAGAAAATACATAAGGTAAAACTAAGCTTAATGCACGTGATATTTTAGGGAACAGTTTGACGATTCTATGGTGCTGACCTTTATCCGTCTTAAATTCAGCTAGGATCCTTTTTTAAAAATAGGTAACAATCAATAAAAACTGTGGGATGCCAGGCATCGACTTTTCTTCGGCATTTTCTGAAACCCAAGAAAAAGTTTGAGAGCCACGTTCGTTCACACTCTCCTCTTTCTGAACAAATTCTCGAAGCGCTTCTGATGTCAAATGCACATAAATAGCAGATCAAACTTAAAAACCAGTTTGACTTACAAAACATTAGAGCGTCTAGATTCCCGCGACGCCTTCCTTTTGGTCTTCGTCAAAGCTTCTTTGAGCTGTATTTTCAAACAACACATAGCTTCCACTGTGGATTTTTGTGCTGGGCTGAAGTGTGCGACAGCTTTAAAAAAAGAAAACCCCTGGAACCAGAGTGCTATCTAAATGAGGCATATTAGATGTGAGAGTGACACAACCATGTTGAAGGGATGTAAGCAGCCCGAGAGGAACATTGCTTCTAGCAACTCTTGTGTTGCATTAGTGATGATTTTCCAGGAGGCGCTCACAAAGACTCTTCAGAACACTCTCCCGAGTCCCATCACAACCTGGAAGAGGCCCAAAACAGCAGGCCACGTGCACACGGGTGAGTGACATAACTTCACACGTTCTGCTGATAACCAACCCCTAGCCCTAACTATACCTAACCCCCTACTAGTATAGGAAAAAAAATATATGTGGGTCATTCTGGTTCTAAAACTGGCTGCCTGTCCCTGGGGCCTGCCAGAGCATGAAATAGACTTTACATCAGGTTAGAATGAGTAACGGCGACGAACAAAGTTTTTTTTTTGGTCATTGCTCATTTTTCATCCTCTCTTTGTTGCTGTAATCAAACATATGGTAGGTCTCTCACTGCCCCCTCCTTCTCTTTCAGTTTATGACCTGAAAAAGATATCAGCAGTTTGCCAGGTTTGGAATATGACAGGCGCGGCTAAAGTCATGTAGAGATTTAGATAATGCGACTGCTGAACACTATACAATACTTTCCACCTCTGCCTTTCAAACTTCCCCCGTGCTGATAAGCGGGAATTCGGGGGTGGATTTCAAAATGCTTTGGATTTGCAAAGAGCCTGCTGATATTGCAAAGGTAGTCACATGACAGCACATTTATTTCCTACCCATTTGTGACGCTACTCATCCTGCTCAATGACTGGCAGGTGAATTACAACAATATCTAGTCTCCCTTTTGGATAGTGGCTGCAAAGCTTCAAAACAGTATGCACACACACACTCACAAAAAGAAGTAAGCTGCTCTTTCCTCTGCTTTCACTTTGACAAGTTGGGCTGCAGTTTTTGGAAGCAAGCTTACTCACAGCAAATTGGATAATGCAGTGAGGGTTTTATTTATTTGCTGTAGTTTGAGGACAAGAAGTTTGCTTTTTCTGCAAAACCATATTGTTTCAATTTCCCCCCCCTCTGACACGACCACCTTCCTCCTCTCCAAGTCCAGTGTCTAGAATCCCTGGTGGCTGCACGCTGAAATGGCCTCATGTTTATTTAAACTTAGAGGGGCAGCAGTTGAGCGCCTGGTGCCCCATTCATTTTCTGTGGTGTTTTCTTATAGCCAGCCAACCCTGGAGCCATTCATCAGCTGGACTAAGTGTAGCTACAGCACGGCGGGCTAAACAGCACTTCACCACAATGAGTGTGACATCAGCTCTCCACACAAACCAGCGGGTGTGTCAAAGAGAAGCACAATTACAGAGGAGAAGGAGAAGGGAAGAGGTGGAAAAATGACCGTGAAGAAATAAAGAAAGAGAGGAAGAGGAAGAGAAAGAGTGGCAAAGAGTGTCAGTCATGTAGCTTCTAATTTTGGTTATGGCTCGAGCACTACTTTGTTCCACCACAGGCTTTTATGCTACAAGCATGAGCAGGCTCAAGATAGACAGAGAGACTCAGAAGAGCTATTGAATTAGCAAAAACCACACTCACACAGTCACACACACACTAAAAATATACTACACACAAATACAATGAGGAGGAGAGACTTATGATAAAAATAAAAACTAAAAACTCCAAGTGGTGATGAGTATATTTGAAAATTCTGTGTCATGTATTTAAACAAGTACAGCCCTCCTCCATGAATGGCTTATTTTGAGCAATCTAACGTCCTTATAAACGTTTCACAAAAGAATTTGTAGCTATAGTAAACTATTTCAAAAACAATCTATTCAAACGTAGATAAAAGACAAGGATTTGCATCCGCAGTTGAGTGGAGAGCACAACAAAAAGATCAAAACCAAGAAGGAGAAATGAGAAAAAAGGAAAGGGAATTGGCAAACACCGATATCCAGCTGTGCCACAGTGAATCAAATTTTAAAAAGGCAATATGAGCCACAGCCAAATCACCTGCAAGATAAATAGATGGGAAATAATGAAAGGAAAATTAAGGCAGAATCAAAGAGAGGCCACGCAGAGGATAAGTGTGTATATATCTATATATAGATCTTCATTTATTTTAATATTTAAACCCACTAAAAGTTGTAAATACAACTTTTGAATGAAAGGCACAGGAAAAATCAGACAATGCTGATATAATACTCAAAAGAAAAAAATATATTACAGTACAAAAAGAGGACAGTTAGTTACGCATGAACAAATCCTTCCAAGTTGACCATCCTCCAGACTCGGGGAAACAGAAATACAGCTGACACAACAAAGGAGAAGGGGGTTCAGAAACAAAAATCCATTAGCCAAACTTGTCTTTATTGCTTTTCCAAACTGGCAAAAGGTCACATCAGCTCTCCAGGTCTCAGAGAAGGCCAAAAAAATAAACAAACAAAAACTGCTGTGCTTTCTCTTTTCCCCACAGGTGGAGTGGCTCACTTTTGATTATTCGCCTGTCTGTTGACTGTGCTACACAACACTCCACTGGGCATCTGATTCACAACATCAAAACAGTTGACATATAAAACATATGGAGCCAGAGACGGGTTTATTTGATTTTTTTTTTTTTTTTTTTTAAAGAAAGATCTCTCACAATGCATTATCAGCTGATCCTACGCTCATTACGCTTTAATTTGTTGGCCCACCAAGTGTAAAATCAACCCAACCTCTAAGTGGTGCCGAGTGTTTAAATATTCAGCAGACATTTCTGGGATTCAAAAAGTGCAAGTCAGAAGCCATTTCTGGAGCAAGGAAGTAATTTGGTTATCTTCATTGCTTTTTATACCGTTGGCTTGATGGAGCTTACTGAACTCAACATTAGTGGGAGCATAGCACAGAAGAATTCATTTATAATTACAGATACTTAAAAAAACAGAATCTGAAAGAAGAGGCCACTACTATTCACTTTTATCAAGTTTGGAAAAAAAAGATTTATCCTATCAAGAGGCTAACAAAGCAGAAAGGGTTTTGTGACATTTAATATGGCTAATTTATGCCTTAGATCTGCCTAGAGTTTTGGTTCTTAGGAGAGGAGAATCAGTATGCAGGCCTGACAGCTCACATAAGATGTGTGTACACATTAAAGTTTTTCTGGACAGCTCTGGTGGGGAACCAAAAATATAACTTTCTGTACTGCTTAGAATTCCTAATTTTACAACTAGCCTCTTTGGTATAGGCAAATCTGCATCAAGAGACCCACCAATGTCCAATTTGTATCTTCTTTTTCCTAAAAACAGCTGTCTCAAGCTCTCACTGGTCCCATTAAAAGGGAAAGATTTGGGGAGAGGAACAGTCCAGGATGATTGCATCAATTCTATAACTTGGAGATCAAGTGATTGTTTGGAATAGCAGGAAATTATACTTCTACAGACATCAAGGGTTTTCCTTTTGTCCTGCATGAAAATGAAAACTCCAAATTTCTGTTTATCCTCTAAACTCGATGCAGCCTGGCCTTTTCTGCTGCCAGACGGCAGATTCATGCTACTTCCACCTTCTCTGCAGCAATGCTACAGAGGGGGGCAAAGCCATGGCACAGCAAAAAAAAGGAAGGAAAAAAATAAAAGAAAAACTTAAACTTGGATTTAGTTTTGAAAAGAACAGCAAATTTAAACAAGAGAAATTAGTGTTACGATCAAACACAACAGTTCGGATGGACTGAGGAATGGCAGGAGGATGGACGTGGTCGGGGCTATGTCATGTTGCCGCGGCCGCTTGGACGCTCTGGTTTGTGTAAGCCTGTGTCCAGTGAAGGATGCGTTTACCAGAGCCCTTTCTCATCTTCCCATCCCCCAGAGATGGCAGGCCACCCTGGGAGGGGAGAATTTACCTCGATTCCCTCTCCATCCTGGTTCTAACCAGAATTTTATAGCGCCACATTCCTCTTTTACACAGGAGCAAAGTAAGGTAAAAGCTACAGCTTTGAGAAATCAGCTTTGAAGTTTGATTCTTACCCTTCCTGATGCAAGAGCTAACACCTTCCAGCTCCAAAGCATAAAGGAGAACAAATGACATCATGAACAAGAACCAGGATCTTAAGAGTCCAGAGACAAAAAGTACAGAATTCAGTCTCTCATTGCGTCAGGCTAACGCCGACTCCATTCATTACCTGGCCATGGCAGAGGAGGATGCGGCAGCTAGCTGTGTGAGGTATTCGCGCAGTTCCTTTGCTGCCTGAAAGCGGCCGTAACGTTTTTTGGGTTTGGTGCACTCGTCCAACAGAGCCTTGAGTTGTCCATCTTTGGCTATGTGGGCAGGCGGGTCGTGGAGGAGACCTCCAGTGGTGCCCCGCCATGTAGCATACCGTGACAGCAGGTTTTGACATATGGCATAGTAGTTGTGGTCCACAGTGACCCTGGAACAAAGAGAGTCCTTGGAGAAAGACAGACAGGCCTCCCTGTCGCACTCCTCAAACCGGCTCTCGTACCACACGTCGTAGTTTTCCGGCTTGTCTGCAAGAGAACAGATACACAGGTAAATGAATCCACTGCTATGAAAACGTACTAACAGCATTTAGTTAAAACAGAAAAAGCATCTAGTGGATCATAAGCTTTGTTTTTCCCCAGGTGAATGTAATGAAGTGAGGCTGGGTTATGTAGGCCTTGCAAACCTTTAAGAAACTCCTGGAGCTATAAAATCAAGAGCATTTTTAATCTTTTAGCATTTACACCTTTATTGAGAGTGATACACAAACATGAAACCTGGGGGGGTTGTTGGGTATGTCACGCAAAAATGGTTCAATCTTTGCATTCGGGGAATTCTGCTAAAGAGCTCCCTCAGATCTAGGCAGCCAGTTTTAGATGAATTCTTTCCTGGTGTAGTAAGAGCATTTCTCTTTCAGCAAACTGTTTTTCGAAACTATAGAGAAAAACTAAACTTGAAACTTTGGTAATTACAGTCAACTGTTCCACCGCATCTGACCGTGAAGAATATTTATTTTTTTTAGTTTGTGCAAATTATTACCCATGAAATCAGCCTCAGCAGAAGCTGACAAGACCAAGGTGCCACTTTTGACACCCCACAGGCCCTAATGCGAAATACTACTTTCAAAGCCCAGAGGCAAACAACTCATCTACAGTTTCATTTGACAGAAATGAACCACTTTCCAGATTTATTGAGCAAATAAAATTCTTTCTCCAGCTCATTTCACATTGCTTTCTCCCCCCTTTAGAGGATTGTGCTGGGAAAGAAGGGGGCCAAGAAAATAACCTGGAATGACGAGAGAGCTATTGGTTTGTGCATTAAAAGCCAGATCAATAGCATGGTGGGGAGGGGGTGGGG